ACATCCCTAGTCTCAATGATGGATTTGTTTTTTCCAAACACGCAGCTTTTGGCTTCACAAGATGTTAAATGATGGACTGGAGTGCTGTGGATTACTTGTGGATTATTGTGATGTTTTTATCAGCTGTTTGGACTCTCATTCTGACAGCACCCATTTACTGCAGAGCATCCATTGATGCGCAAGTGATGCAATGCTACATTTCTCCAAATCTGATGAAGAAATCTTCACATCTTGGATGGACTAATTTTTTAATTGCAGAAAACATTTATTAATACCCCTAAAAGCAAAGGCACCTGCTCAGTGGCATTATTTAGGTGTTTGCCTGAATTGACCGTAGTGCTAATAGGGATTAATTCAAGCAGACATTAAATATATTCAGGGCCAAAACCGACAAATTCGATGCCAGTCATGAGACAATCCAGGCAAAATCCAGTAGGTCGCCAATGTAGCCTAAGAATTTCCGGTGAAAACATGGGTCAAAAGAGGTGAGAGATTTGAAACAGAACAGACCGTGCCCATCCGGCTAAGAAACGTGTTATGCCCTGGAATGAGTTACCTTACCTGACATTTCACACATGCCAGTAATTGCTTTAGCTCTCATTATAGTAACATTCAGTATTAACGATTCGGAGGTAATCCTTGATAGATTAACAACTTTGTGCTCATTTGAAATTGGGACAGCAACATGCTACAAGTAATTCCCACTGATCTCAGTTCAGTTCATTGCTCTTCTCGAGTAACTCAGCCATTGTTTTAGCACTGAGAGGGATTTCACCTAAATATGAAATATGAAATCAATGCTTTAAGTGATACTGTATATGATACAATGAAATAGTAACATTTCAAAGTTACAAAGCTGGGTAACATTTTATCTGAGTAAGCGGCATCGGTTTATTGACAAAATTATACTGGAACAATTTACAGTAATAGATAGGCTGATAGTATGAGACTAGGAATACATAATATACTTGTATCATATCAGTTATCAGTCACTCAATATTAGATATTTAATTTTGAATGCTCATTTCTTTTGTTTTTACATGTGAATCACATTTGCTGTCATCCAACGCTCACTTACAAATTAAAAAATACTAATAATTTACTATAGCTAAATAAAAATTTGAAAGTCTCATAATGAATATTCATTTTTTAATACATACTGTACATGTTACGATGACTAAATTCACTGATTTCATTTGTTAGTGTTTTTAATAGAATTTTAATATCCATATAAAGAGATCTTTATATAAAATGCAATAAAAATGTTATCAATAATGATTTTAAATCAAAAAATGTAAAAATAAAAATATTTTATACAGTATATTTTTTTTAATTTATATTACAGTAAATATCTAAAATATCTTTGATATATAAAATAATGATCAGCAACTGCTAAATCCGACTGTCCCAAAATTCCATCCCCTAAAATATCTCCTGATTGACTGTAATTGATTCCCATCATGCTGTAGTTTCTTGTTTATTATGGAGAAATGCACAGTTTTTTATTCGATTTCAGATACTGACACTTCCAGTTTACATCTTGGAAACATTTCCCCGCATTGCAACAATGATCTCTGCTATAAAATAGCAGCTTTCATGATAATAGCATACGTTTGTCTATAGTGGTTTTGCGGTCCTTCATATAAACAGAGCATGGCTGCTGCAATGAATGAAGAAGACGTTCAAGGACATCTGAGGACACGATCCATACGCGCAACACAGAATGTAGAGCAAGCAGGATGAAAATGGAGCGGGAGAGCAATGTGTTTCAGTGCATGTCTCATGCAAAAGAGTCGCATCAATGAGATTCAACGAGGAGCCGCTGACACACATTCAGCGAGAGTATGCCGTTACCTTACGTGAGCCGCGGCTTCTGAGCAAAACTAATCTAAATCTGAGTGAGCACAATGAAATTAGCTGAATGCAGCCAGACAGCAGCGCCTCAGTCTATACAGTAAGACTAGCCATAGTCTAAAACCACTGCCGTACAGGATTCACAAGAACAGCTAAAAAACATGCTTAAAAAAATTATGAAACTGCTGAGGAAGCGGAGTAATGCAGTATTTAATTACAGCATTTAATACAGACTTTAGATGGTGACAGTAGTATCAGTGCACTCAAATCAATAGGTTAATAGGAACAATAGAGTGATTAAATCTATGATATAATGAGACCAAAAATTCTCCCTTATCTAAAAACAACAGAGTTTTATCAAATAAAAACAGCAAAATTAGAACGATTAGTCTACAATTGCATTAAATATTCCTGTAGATTTCAAGATCTCACAATTAAATATTGGGATTTAAACCTACAAAATAAAACCTGGAAATTCAATTTGATTTAATTAGAATATTAAACCGAAGTTACAGAACTGAGAATATTTTTTGACGTATTCTGTTGTGTTACAGTTAATGCAGAATAATTTCACAACACAAGCCTCAAGCTTCCTCTGTCTGTCCAGATCGTTTTAGCCACTGGAAACTGATTCTTAAAGGTGGGGTAAGTGATTTCTGGTAGCCAATGTTGACATTTGAAATCACCAAAACAAACACCGCCATCTCTATCTTTCTGTCGCTCGGCTCGGCTAACGTCCGTCCTGTGCACTGAACGCTCTCTCCTCCACATCACGAGTAGACACGCCCCTTACTGCTGATTGGTTACAAGTTTGTTTTGCTATTCGGCCCGAATCAGTTTTCTAAAGCGCTTTTAGACATGCTTTTAGCGCTTAGCCTTTAAGACATGATGATGATGATAATTCAATAGATCAGCTAGACATAAAACATAATGGATTTTTATACTAAATATTCTATATATTTGTATTTTGTGGTGTATAAATGATATAGATGATAAAAATGCTGTTTTTTTATATGTTTACACGCTGTACTTGAAGCTTTTATGTACAATGTATTGTATATTTTCATTAATAACTGCAACCTTAGCTAAAATGCATTATCATTTTTGTTACATGTGAAATTGGTTGCTTGTCATGTGTTTAAATGAACTGTACCTTCTAAAGGTGTAACGATAAGTATTATAATGTATTATAAATGTGTTTATAATTTTACATGCAACGCATTTACAAGAAATTATTCATGCATTAAACATACTTTATTTTTGTACTTGCCTATCCTGTTTTGACCCTGGACTCGGTGATTGACATTTCTGAACGGAGGAAAGTTTCAGCCCTTTGCGTTTCTTCTTAACCTACATAGTGTTTATCGTCTATAATGCTGGCTGACTGACTGTACGGGCCCCTTGGAGAGTCTCATGACCCCGAGAATAAGCCTTAGCTGTGTCTGTCCAGCTAACTAGGCCACACACACGGATGCCATTACCTCCAATAACCTCGTAAACAACAGAAATTTCTCTCCAGAAGCTGTGACGCGGCCTCACCCCGAATAAACCGACACGAGAGGTGAGCAAAATGTCAGACCATATGGAGAAAAACATGCTATTGTTTGTGATCACATGGTCCCCAGAATCCCACTTTGGGCTTTAAAATGTTAACTTTTTTTTTTTGTAATAACTTTTTATTAATATAGGTAGGCTATTTATTGAAATCTCATATGTATTGAAACCATCACTCAAAGTTTCAAGCATTTTAAACCTAAATTTGCATGTATTCATTTGCAATTCATTCGCAATTCATTCACAAAGGTTTTGCATGTTTTAAGAAAAGGCTATTCATTCAACTCTTTATTTATTCATTCAAATCTTTTTCACAAACGTGTTCATAAGATGCAATTCTAAAGCATATCCCAGTACATTGTATCTGTAATTTGTCTGTTCAAGAGTCAACCTGATAGTGATTCAAATACTCGATTCGCTCAAAGTTCTCTCTGTTCGAACATGTTCAATGAATTCAGTCCGAACCGATTCAGTCTTGTAACTCATAAGCAATGCTGTGAACCACTTCATTCAAATGATTCAGTTACGAAAAATGATTCATCATGATGACAAAAACAATATTTACATCATTCATCATTCTTTTGAAACATTCCAGTTGGAAGTTCGTCTAATTTCATGCTTTTTGAACATTTAAAAACATTTTTTCTTGGTTACGTGAATGTTGGGAAAACATTAAAGGGATAGTTCACCCAAAAATGAAAATTCTGTCATCATTTACTCACCCTCATGTCATTCCAAACCTGTACGAGTTGGTGGTTGCCATTGACTTCCATAGTATTTTTTTTCTTACTATGGAAGTCAATGGCAACCACCAACCGTTTGATTACCAGCAATCTTCCAAATATCTTCTTTTGTGTTCAACATAAGAAAGCAACTCGTACAGGTTTGGAACGACATGAGGGTGAATAAATGATGACAGAATTTTCATTTTTGGGTGAACTATCTCTTTAATGTTTATGAAATGTTTAAAAACCTTAGACTAAGGTCCAACTAAAATGTTTCAGGAAAACATTCCATGAATGATGTATGAATAATGTAACGTACTAACGTTTTGAGAACGTTATTAAAGATCAAATGACTTCGAACAGACGTTCTTTGAACGTTCCTGGAAGAACTTTGAGAGAACCTTGCCAGTACACTAGCGTTACTAAGTTACTTTCCCCTCCTATTTACATAAATTTACAATACATTTTTTTATTACTTTTCTCAGTGGTTCACGATCATGTTAGCAAAATGATTAAATGTCTTAATGTTTTTACCAACGTTGTTTTGAACTTCAGAGAATCATTCCCAAATCCAAAATAACGTTTTCATAACCTAGCCTAATGGGAACATCAGCAGATTTGTAATTTTGTTTGAACGACTGTTACTTCTAATACTAAGCCACAGTAAAATGAGTTAAGATCAGATCTTTATAAATGTAACAACAGCGTTACGCATTGATTGTTACACCGCGTAACTCCAGCGGCTCTCTCGGCTGATGTAACGTTAGTTTAATGAGTGTCAAGGAAGCTTCATATGCATTCACAAGCTGCTAAACACATTTTACTACTAAACACGTTTCTACCATGCGAGAGTTGATGAGAACTTACCCAGAATGTCAGATTGCCGCATAAGTGCTTCATCACTATTCAACGGAGCTCTTCCTTTAGCCGACAGGAGGATGTGGCTGCTTTTCTTTGCTGCGCTTTTGTTCTTGCACGCAACTCAAACACACGCTCATACGCGCGCACATAGACGAAACACACTGCATCGACGGACAGCCGATAATCTGTTATTAGTTGTGCGGCCGGTTCCTAACCCTCCTCCCCCGGGGAGCGCGTTGTGACGTCCGAAACTGTACTCTCTTACCCCCTTGGCTTGGCTTGGTTTGGTTCAGAGTAGACTGTCACTCTGAGGTTGTCATGGCACGAGAGCCCCGCCCACTTTGTGCGTAGATCTGTGAGGCGTATCCATATTTGTTAGCATTTTTCATGCAAAAAATGCAGCAAGTTTTTCCTCCTAGTTACCTAACATGTTGGGAGTTTCGTCCCCAAAATATATTTTGGCAACGTTCCCTTTAAGATATGATTATGGGATCATTATGGGAACTGTTACTTTGCTTTCTGAAACTAGCAAATATAAACGTTTGCAAAAAGTTCGACCAACTGTTTCAGGAAAGCATTGCATGAATAATGTATAAATATGCTAACGCTTTGTGCAAAGGTTTAGGAACGGTCTGTTAATGTTCCTGGAAGAGTTTGTTATTGAGAGAATCTTGCAAGACGTGTCAGACAAAGTTCTGAGGATGTTCTACGTCCAGCTATCTAGTAAAATAAACAAGCTTTTATAACAGTAGCTTAACATCTTAAATGCTTAAATAAAATAAAAACTAACAATTTCCTTAAAGGCATCCATAATAATAGTCTTCCCTCCTGTTTACTTGGCAATTTTGTCCCTAGAAGATTCCCAGCTAGCAAAAATAGGTTCTAAGAACGTTTTCCTAACATTCCCGATAAGTTCCCTTACCAAAAAGTAGTATACTTCAAGTTTATTTTATTTAGTATACTTAAGTAAAGTTCAAGTATATTTTAAGTATACTTTATGTAGCAAGTATACAAATATCAGTGTACTAGTAGTATACTTGTAAGTGTTCTATTTCAATACTCCTTGGGACTAAATTGGCCCACTTTCTAGTATATACAAGTATACTTTAAGTATAACAGTAGTAAACTTTAAGTACACAACTAGTTTACAACAATATTTTTAGCTTGTACTGCAACTATACTAAAAGTGAACTTATATGAATACTGATAGTTTACTAATTAAATACTTGTAGTAGCATTTTTAGTACACTTTGAAGTATAGTCTCAGTAAACTACTAGTTTAGTAGTTTTATACTGCAAGTATACTCGTAAGTGAACTTTACATCATACTTGAAGTATACTACTATGTCCCTATTTAGTATTAATTTGCATATATTTTGTTACATGAATATCTGAACAAACATCAAAAGAACAGGGTATCTGCTTGTAAACAAAAACATTTTATTCTAGCTTCATGCATTCTTTTTTTAAACGCTTGAATGTGGATAAGTTTCATAAATAATAAAAAAAACAAAAAAAAACATTTTGAAGAAAAAGCTGAAAAAAAGACTATGAATTGGATTCAGAATGATAATCAAATGTAAATAGAGTCGATCAACACCCCAAAGCTTGACAGTTATTATTACCTCTTCATTGGTCGACATTACATTAACGTTACACAGTTTTGATGCTGTTTTATGTCTGATGATCGTGTTAGATTACATGTGGAAGCACCTGTTGTTTCGGTTTCTTCTTCACTTGTGTTTTTTGGAAATTCTGTACAGAAGATGTGTACTAGCGCCCCCTCCCGTATAACAATGAAAACACGGATTCTAGGAACACAAGTATAGCTCAAATATATTTAGACTTTTTCTAAGTAGGCTATAAGTCAAGTATACTTAAATGTCATTTTAAGTATATTTCCGAGAAGTACATAAAGCCCATTTCTGAGAAGTACATAAAAAGTAGACTACAAGTATTCTTTCTTATTTTTTGTTTAAAAGAAGTATACTAATAGCACACTTGAATAACCTTCTTTTTCGTAAGGGTTATAAAAACATTATTTCCCATTTTCTTCAAATCTTTAAGTGTTTTGTTTTTTTAAATGTTGTTCGTGTGAATGTTAGTGATAGCATTAAGGGAACATTCTATTTGATCATTTTGCAAACATCATGTGAAGTTACTTTTAAATGTTCTCTAAACCATTTGAAACTAGGAAGTATTAATGTTTACAAAACGATGAACCAACGATGTATAGATATAGTGCTTGTGTGAGTGTTAATAACTGCTAAATAACTTTTAACAAACATTCTTTTAATGTTACTGGAAGAATGTTTGTTCATAACTTTGAGAGAACAGGGATGCAGAAACAAACACATGTCCACTTGTCTTTGTTGGTAGAGACTTTTCCTCTATTTTATTATTTTTACAGTGAGAAATTATATCACGACTATCCTCTACCTCTAAACCTAAACATTTGCCTGTTTAGATTTTCAGTTGGATTTTATTACGGATGTTTATTAAGCAGTTTTTCGTGTATAGCCATTGAACAATTCCTCTCATTGTGGGTGATTTTGGATTTTGCGATGCTTGCATACATTGCAGGTGAAACCACACACATTTGCATTATTATGCCCCACAGGAAGTTAATAGTACTTACTAGACATTAATTTGCATTGTCTTCAGGCACATACATAGCATCCCATTCATATAGGATCTTTGCTGTCACGAATCTGTCACTGCTGAACAGCATTTAGGTAAAAGCCTGCGTATATGTGTTATAAAGGCCTGTAGTTCTTAATGAAAACAAGTGTTTACAGTAGAGCAGTCAATAAACAACAGAACTCATGAAAAAAGTTCAAGCTTGTGAGCCAGTAGAGAGTGTAACCGAAGTATTGATCCTGATGAAGGAGATCTCATTACATGCATTAATTGTTCCTTAATGCCAAAAACATGCTTTTTGCTCTTGTATGTCTTTAGCTCAATTTAATTAAGTGATGGACGGTCAGGATCATTGCTGAAACATTAGACATTTTGTCTGCTCTGGAGTGATGTAGACCCTCTGAGTTGAGGGCCGTGCTTATTATGCTGCTCTTAAACCTATAACATCAAGCACACTACAGCAAACGCTAAAGCATTTGTTTCAAGGGCAAATGCTGCACAATCTAGGGAGACTGTTAGTTTACTGTGACTCAGCACAGATGTAAAAAAAGATGTTTAACATATTCTTTGTTTCATGTTTAAAAACTGATGTACTTTCGCTTTTTGGGTGTTGAGCGCCCTCTAACGATGTAATAAATATCTGTGATTATACTGAACAGGTGACTTTTTCACCTAGAGTTAAATAGGGTTAGAAAATATCTAGAAGGTAAAGAGAATGGTAACTATGCTTCTATGGGTTTTTCATAGCTTCCATCTGTTTGTTAGACAATACAACAATGCACAATGTACAGATAGAATAGTTTTACAATGAAAACAATTCAGATAAGAAATCCCATAATATTATGTAAGCATAGTTAAATAATAAAAAAAGGTAAGGTGTGATATTGATCATGAGAGTCTAAAACTAAAGAATGCTGAAGCTAGGGTTGTTTTTGAATCTCAGTATGTCCTGCATCTGTATGTGTCCACTGACCACTAGATGGGACCCTTGTCCAGATTGATCACTGTTCAAACACTTACAGTGAGGTTTGCTAGAAGACAGGAGTCACATTGACCCAGTTTAGGCAGTTTGCTGTGGTTGATAAAGGGTTACAGTTTGAGGTTTGGGGTCTGTGGTTGATGGATTTGTTGTAGGTAAGTTGCATAAAAAGGGTTTGAAATTAGACAGACAGATGGACAGACGGACGGACGGATGGATGGATGGATGGATACATAGATGGGTGCATAGATGGATGGATGCATAGATGATGCATGGATGAATACATAGATGGATGCATGGATGGAGGGATACATAGATGGATGCATGGATGGATGGATGTGTGGATGGATGAATACATGGCTGGATGGATGGAGGGATACATGGATGCTTGGATGGATGGATACATAGATGGATGCGTGTATGGATTAATGGAAAGAATGCTGAAGCTAGGGTTGTTTTTGAATCTCAGTATGTCCTGTCTCTGTATGTGTCCACTGACCACTAGATGGGACCCTTGTCCAGATTGATCACTGTTCAAACACTTACAGTGAGGTTTGCTAGAAGACAGGAGTCACATTGACCCAGTTTAGGCAGTTTGCTGTGGTTGATAAAGGGTTACAGTTTGAGGTTTGGGGTCTGGTTTTGTTGTAGGTAAGTTGCATAAAAAGGGTTTGAAATTAGACAGACAGATGGACAGACGGACGGACGGATGGGATGGATGGAAGAATAGATGGATGTATGGATGGATGATAGATGGATGAATGGATGGATAGTTGGATAGATGGAAGGGATGGATGGATGGATACATAGATGGGTGCATAGATGGATGAATACATAGATGGATGCATAGATGGATGGATGAATACATAGATGGGTGCATGGATGGATGGTTTGATGGATACATAGATGGATACATAGATGGATGCATAGATGGATTGATGGATACATAGATGGATGCATAGATGGATGGTTGGATGCATAGATGGGTGCATGGATGGATGGATTGATGGATACATAGATGGATGCATAGATGGATGGATGGATGGATGGATGGATTGATGGATTCATAGATGGATGCATAGATGGGTGCATGGATGAATGGATGGATGGATGGATGGATGGATGGATGGATTGATGGATACATAGAGGGATGATGGATGGATGCGTGGATGGATGGAAACAGATGGATGGATGAATGACTGGGTGGATGGATAGATGGACACATAGAGGCATGATGGATGGATGCGTGGATGGATGGAAGGACGGATGGATGGATGGATGGATGAATGATTGGGTGGATGGATAGATGGATACATAGATGGATGCATGGATGGATGGATGCATATATGATGCATGGATGAATACATAGATGGATGCGTGGATGGATTAATGGATGGATGGATGGATGGATGGATGGATGAATGGATGAATGGATGGATGGATGCGTGGATGGATAGAAACATGGATGGATGGATGGATAGGCGGAATGGATACATTGATGGATGGAAGAATAGATGGATGTATGGATGGATGATAGATGGATGAATGGATGGATAGTTGGATAGATGGAAGTGTTAAAATGATCAAATATGATAATGACAATATTATCAATTTCAGTTATACTGAGAATTCAATATTCTATCAATATTCAATATTATATCAGTATTCAATATCCTATCAATATTCATGTTCACCATGGATTGTAAATGGTATTTATACCATGCTATGTTGGTAGGTATGGTACTTTTTGTTATTATTGATTTGAGTTAAACGTCAATAAAAACCACACACTCAGGAACCTCCCTTCGCAGCACGTGCAGCTTGTCTCAATATCAGTAAGTTGTCTGTGTAGACAGCATTTGTGAGCATGACAGGCACGCGCAGCATTTTTAACAGAGCTGACTCGGGAACGCGCCCATGATGCCCACAAGTGCTGCCCACGCAGACGGTTCCGCGCGTTTGAGACGCAGCGCTGTAGCAGCAGAAAGTTTCCTTCTGGATGTCATTCTGCTCGCAGCAATGATTTGAAGAGCTCACGCTGCTTGCTTAGGGAGTCTGATATGTGTGCTCATTCTAACGGACCCGTTATTTTGACGCCACGAGCTGTGGACAGCTTTGGGAATGATGATCGGTAACGAGCGGAGCCCACAGACATCCAAGCCGCCTCCTCCAGCCTCACCTGCGGCTTTACCGCTCAGCGCGTCCCGCAGAAGATTCTCTCGGGTCGGGAGGAAACACAGCAATGGATCCGTCCAGTGAGTTCACCTCTGAAGTCCCACTTACTGTACATATACAGAGTTCAGAAAGTAGCTACTAGTCATTCATAAGCAGTCCTTTTGATATGAGATTGATAGTTTACGCGTTAGCCAAACAGTTACAAGCATACTGTCTTAAGAGTTGTGGAGTGAATTGATTTTTAAGTCTTTTACAAACTTAAAGCAACATGTATTTTCTCTCTTTTATGTTATATCAAGTCAAATGAAAACTTATCAAATGTTTATCCTACCTTAAATGCCTTTTATGATTTTTGCATTGGTCTAAAGACTTTAAAACAAGACTTTCAATAATACAAGTGTTGTTACTAAAGGCTACTCAGCTTACAGAAAGTACGTTCTAAGAACGTTTTGGTAACGTTAGCATTAAGTTGTGAAAATGTTTCTGAATGTTCTCTCAGTGTTCAAAATGCAGTTTGTTAAATATCTTTAAGAAATGTGTTTTCTTTAGTTAGTAACGTTACTTTGAACGTGTTATAACTGTAGCCTAATGATATATATATATATATAAAAGCTTAATAAAAAAAAGTGTTCCATTAATGTTGTATAATTAATGTTTTTGTGCTAACGTTTTGAGAACTTAAAGGACCAGATAATTTAGTAATTAACGTTACTGGAACGTTGAGAGAACCTTGCCAGAACGTTAGCCAGAGTTCTTGCTAGCTGGGTCTGTTCTAAACCAAGTGAAATAAACATAGATTATTTAGATATTTATTGAGTGAAAACGATTTTTCACTGGCATAATTCTGCGCTGAAAAAAACTTTTATCAGAACTTGTTTACTAAGGAGATATCAGTGCAAATAAGAAGTTAAGACTAAATATGAGATGTCATGTGTGAAGAATATCAAGGTAAATATCTAGAAATTTCCGGTCAAGCTGCAATTTTGTCAGATTATGCTAAAAGGGGTGAAAATAGCCTATTATTCAGTTGTATTTATGGTACAAAACATGCTGTGGAATTTGCTAAATCTATTTATTTATTAATGTTAAAAGACAAAATAACTTTTTTTGTTCTTTTATTGGTTTTTATTATTTTGTTTAAAATGTCATTTCCACTACAGTCTTACACATTATATTCCACATAGTTTGGACTCTTAAAAATATAGGTTCTTTATTAGAATTGATGGTTGATTTATTGGCATCAAGTACTTTTTACATCCATAAAAACTTTCCATTGCACACTAGATTCTTTATAGTGGAAAAGGGTTCTTTAGTTTATTAAAATGTTCTTCATTCTAAGAAAAAAAATGGTTCTTTTAAGAACTGATCACTGGAAGGGTCTTCGGGGAACCAAAAATGGTTCTTCTATGGCATCACAGTGGGAACACCCTTTTGGAACCTTTATTTTTATTTTATGGTGGAAATGTTCATGTGTTCTTAAAAAAAAAAAAAAGAATGATTTCTTGTTTTTTTGCACACCTGGACACTGCTAGTGGAAAAATTAAATGAGTTATAGTTTTAGAAGATTTTATTTAGGGCCGATAGATGAGGAAACACATACACGGTACTACTGACGCAATTAGTGAAAGCTGAAAAGGAGCTTTTGTGCCACCGCTACTGAAATAAACTGATTACTGGATTGGACAAAATCCTCCAAGTATTATGCAGAGCTTTGTATGTGTGTGTGTGTGTGTGTGTGTTTTAAGTCTCTTTGTTCATTTTGTGAACATTGCTGTTCATTAACTGGGTGCAGTTATGAACAGCCAGACTGAAGCGACGTAGGTTTGCATCTACAGTCCAGTGGAGAACAGAGCAATCATTTTGGTTCCTCTTCCAGGTCCAGCTCATCCAGCGGCACGGCCAGATCAACAGAGAGCGTGGGAATCCGCCAGCCGGCGAAGAACAAGATCCGGCGTCACCAGCACCGTCTGTCGGCAGTGTTCGGCCGCGGGCCCAGAGGAGGTTCTGGAGAGATGGCCGCTGCGGGAGAGGAGGCGCTGGTGACAGACGACCCCTCCGAACTGTCCAATCACATCACGGCTCCAGGCATTCTAAAGATTTTTGGCACAGAGATCTGTCAAGGAGCCAACTACAAGAGTGTACTGGCCACAACACGCTCCAGTGCCAGAGAGCTGGTTAAAGAGGCACTCGCCAGGTGGGGCCAGAGAATAATGCCACTGATTTTGCTACTGTTTTTAGCATTATCTTTAACCTGTTAGTTGTCACCCCCTTAAGGTGGTGCATGAAAATGCGCTATCCGAACTTAAATTGTTGTAATTCACGAATGCTTTGGAATAACAGACCTAAGGTTATAGATTTTTAAGTTAGCTTAGAAGCAAATGCACTGCACTAAACATGTTATGTTTTGTGCACAAAAATATATTTTACAAAATAGTATGGACGCTACAATTGCTAGATATTCAAAGCCATATATCAAACCAAGTTGTATTCCAAATTTGAAGTTGATATCACAAAAAATGAGGTTCCTGTACATTTTGTTCACTGAATTTTTTGAAGTGTTGTCCTGTCACAACCTACAGTCTATGGTCACAACATTTCCAGCTAACAAGGAACTTTTCCACAACTTTCACTAACTTTTTTTAAATGTTATATGAATCTTCTTAAAGCCATGTTTTTGGAGCATTCTTAAAACTTTATGCGCTCGTAATGTTTAGAGAAAGCATTCTGAGATCAACATTCTCCGAACATCCCCGTGATGTAATTTTTACTTGATGAACATTCTAAGAAATGTTTTTTGTAATGTTTAAATAATTTAATAACCACGGCAATAAAACTGGATATTTTAATATTCGTAGAATATTGTTACAAATAATGTTACATTTTGTGGGTTAAATATAAAGTTAGTGGAATGATTTAAGAAACATTTTAGTAACTTTTTTCTACAAACGTTATGATCACCACAAGAAAACTGCCTGCTAAGAGGAATTAAAGTACAGTTTTCATGGTAATGCATTATCTAATTTCAAAAAGGTTTTCATCACAGTATTTAAACTTTCAAAGGATAACCTAATTTATGATGATTACTAAAATATGTAAAAGGGAAAAGGCACCTAGTGTCTTAACACCAACAGTTAATAAAATGTTTCCAGGTAAAAGCTAAAAGACTTATATAGCAGTAAATGTGGTTCAAATATATTCAGGGTTGTGTGAAATAATATTTAAATTTGGCTTATAATATTTTGACAATATTTTAAAATCATAATGCGGTTGATATCTGAACAAAAAGTCCAGATGATTTTCTTAAGGGTTTGAATTTCAGTAAATGCACAAAACGGCCTTTGTGCACATTGGTTAAAGTCCGTTGTAACGGCATGAGAAGTTTTCATACCAAACGTCTCGGTTGGTTTGGAGAAGTTTGAAATTCAAGGCTAAATGAATTCCTTGGTGAAGCCACTTGGATCGAATGCTGCGTCAGCACTCAGATACTGAAACTCTCCATTCTTTCACAATTCTACAGCTAGAGTGTGTGCCTGAAAGTTTGTAATGTTTTACTGTAGCTTTAATTGTTTAACTGTTTTCAACATTGATAATAATCAGAAATGTTTCTTGAGCAGCGAATCAGTATATTAGAATGATTTCTGAAGATCATGTGACACTGAAGACTGGAGTAATGATGCTGAAAATACAGCTGCGCATCACAGAAAACATTACATATTACAATATATTCACATAGAAAACAGCTAATTTAAATTGTGATAATATTTCACAATGTTGACTATATTTGCTTAAATAAATGCAGCTTTGGTGAGCAGAATAGTAGAGTTTTTTTGATAACATTTAAAACTTTTGTACAGCAGTGTGAATGTATATCCTATTATTTCATATATATCAGTTATCCTGCTGTTTGTATTTGTTTCAGATACTCCCTGAGCAAAGAAGACG